TAAATTTATTCATTAAAAAAAATGGTAGATGGCGAATACGTCACAGAGAGAAGATGTACGGGAATGGTATGGTACTGATAAAAGACCAGATTAAACTGAGCAACAATAATTTTAGTTAAAAAATATAATAAAATGTATTAATAGACAATTTGTGCATGCTATATAGAGCAGTCGGCGCCTGTGGCTTGGGCGTTGCGAACGCGCTTCGTAATGCCAGTGTGCCGGGTTTGATCCCAGCTGCGGGCTTTGTGCCTTGCGTTAGTTTCGACAGTGGTATCCAGAAGCTGGCCGTCAAGGAAGCAATGATAAAATACAGGACGTAAAATTACCTAGAAAAACAGCCATAACATGCTGGGGTTGGTTTTGCAGCGTCCTGTAAAGGATACGCAACTAACTTTTTATATAGAGCCAGTTTTATTGTTTGGGTGTGCATTCTTGACAATTTATAAACGCCGAACAGTTTCTTGGGGCCTCTGAAATGTGATTTCACAGAACACTACTTACAACTCCTTGGACAGCCAAAATGGGCAACCAAGATGTTTGGAAAGAGGCGAGGGTCCGAAGATAATTTATCACACACTCCCTCTGGTTTCTTTGTGTGTGACGCTCCTATCTCAGTTTGTAAACCAGGGGAAAGACACAGTGTGTTGGAGATCTATTGCAGCCAATCTTCTTTATTGTGCAGCCCGCCCTGATTGATTGATTGCCGATAGAAAATTCACCTTTCAGGTGACATATGTTTGCATATTTAATTACGTGTTGAGCCAGCGTTCCTTTTTCAAGTGTTGACTTTCTCTATTGCTGTTGAAGTGAATGCTCATCCTTGGCACTGCAACGTCTTTTCCCTGATTGGCGAAGACTGACTAAAATGAAATCACAATTGATTCCACCAAATTAAGAAGAGCAAACATTACTGACGTTTCGCTTTGTGAGGTTTCTACAGAAAGCAAATAACATGTTAAAAGTAACTTCAAGGATAAAAATACACAATGCTAGCATATAGCGGAATATTTTAAATTAATGAGTTGGAAGGAAAATGAACAGTTGGCTGATTGTAATTCTATTTCTGGCAAAGTGTTTTTCTTCTTTTTCCTATCTTCCTAGTTTTGACGGTAAATGTGTTTGTTCCCTGAAAGAGCTGGCAAAACTGTTTGGTTAGGAATTTTGACTATTCCACCGTTTAGAATACGAATTCTTGGCTTTTCTTGTCGTTAAGAATTAGTGTTTAACCATTTCAGTCTTCTTCTCCCTCTTCTTCTCTTCTTTTACCGACTTCGAGGACGATAAAGTTCTTCGTTTTGCTCATCTGCTGCCTTGACCAAACACTGTTGGTGTAGGCAGCCAGAGTCTTGCCTGCAGATCTAAAGGTAGTAGGTTTAAACCTGAACAGCGCCGGACTTTAAAAAAAAAAACATTGCCTCCCAGGTTGACCCAAACTTAAATGGCTACCAGGTAGAGTCCTGGTGGGAAACAAAGGCGACCGGCTTGATGTTGACCATATCACCGACCGAGTGTCGATTTGTTTATATAATACTAGCTGTACCGGCCACGCGTTGCTGTGGCCCAGAATGGTGAAATGGAAAAGAAAGAAAAAAGCTCTCAGCTAATAGTGTCTGACATATCCCCCCCCCTTCCCCCTCCCCTCGACCCAGTAATATCTCCCTCTCCAAAGGATTAAAAAATTATCCCTGGCAAAATTATTAAAATATAAATAGTTAAGAAATGATAACTTTAAAATAATGTTTTAAGCTCTCGCAGTTAACAGTGTCTGGCATTATACCCCCACAACCCCCCCTCCCCCACTAATCATATCATCCTCTTTGAAGGATGGAAAAGTCATCATCTGACGAAATATTTTAACTAAATTGAGCTTGGCATCCATGTCCACCCAAACTAAAATGGGTAGCATTAATTTGTACTGAGAAGTAAATGTGGCGAGTGTAACAGCTACCACATCACCCATCCAGTACCAGTACTGCTGCTACCTCTACCACCATTACAACAACAACAATAACTGTCACTACAGTCTGTTTAGGTCAGTGTAGCCAGAGGAGTTAGCGCCGCTTGCTGTCGCCACGGACTATTTAGTTTAATTTTGTCTCGACATAGAAAAGAAAAAAAAAACGTCATCATCTAACCAGTGATAGAACCCACAGTAAAAAGTACACTATACTCACAAATAGCCGAGAAAAATACCCCGCACCCCTCATCTCTCCCTCTCCGAAGGTAAAATTTGAAAGCAATCGGCTCAGTAGTTTCGGAGTCTATAGTTAACAAACTCGGAAAATTAACATTTTTATTCATATAGATTGGTGTAGCATAACACTATATGAACACGTCAGAAGGTGTGGAAAGGAGTACTAAACTATACTGGTTAGCATTCAACAATACTGTTATAGAATGGATGAACAGAACAGTGTAAAGAACTAAAAGACATAACGTCATACGTACACGCGACAGATACATATCCTTTCCTGCTCGTGACTATCTCTTGATCATCGTCGCTAACAGCGCTGCACGTGCACCAGAAAGGTTCATCACCTTCATAATTCTGAACATCAGCTCGCGTGACCTCAATCTTTGCTTGAACCAAGCCAGGATAGATTTCAGACACGTCTTCAGCCTCGACGGACGTCGGGGGAATTTTGGTGCCCACACAAGAGAAGAAAATCTCCGTAGCGTTCATGGCTTGGCAGGTGATGACAGCTGGGTTCTTCTTCACCAGGTAATAGTGTTCTTCTGGTTCTTTGACCAGCCAGGCTTTACTGACCGCGCTGTCCTGGGCAGAGATAAACGGGCTTCCGGTCATGAGAAACGTTGCTGTGGAAATATATAAATACTACTCAAACACACTCAAAAAGGAAAGGTTCAGCTACTAAAAGGAACACATTTTTGTCATAATTTTGACATCAAAATCTTTGTAATTTAATTAGTGACATTGTTCAAATAGCACACAGGAATACTGTTGGGTTGAAGCTAACAATATTTTTTATGCATCTGGGTGCTCTAAAGTTTTTAAGCCTACGCGCTTTCCCTCCAATTAATAAAAACGCGACTTCGGAAAACAATTTGTTTTCTTTTCAACATCTCATTTATGGAAAAGGTACAAAGGGAGCAATGCGAATCATATTTGGCTGCACCAAAGACACATCGTGTAGAGCAATGAGGCACTAGATCTTCCAGATATAAAATACATTTTTTTCTTGAAATGCGACAATCGTGTGCCTACCTCAAAATTGCCGAGGTCTTTACACACCAACTACATGATGAACTGAATATATACGAAAAGGCAACAAACAGAGCAGGCCAGTCTAAGCCAATCCCTGACCTAGGGCTTTTCTGCACGCGGACAATAAGTCTGCCTAGCTCTGTACAGTGGGCATGTCGGATTGGTGGTCGCATGCCATTTCACCATGTTGACGCCAAACGGTAACTCATCGTACGCAGATCTCACGACAAAGCTCAGCCGCAGCGAAGCCATTCGCCAGATCTCGCCTCATGAGTATTCGTGGCAAGGCGCTCTCGAGGCCAATTCACAGGCTTGCTGCGACTGGTGCACGGATTTTTGGACCCGACTCTCGTATTCGGCGTCACTTATCTGCTGTATTACCATTCTCTGCGCTCTTTGGACCACCAACTGACTTTCTCATGCCCTAGGCCTCAATGTATTCTCTCTTAAGTGGACAAACCATTTAATTTGCTCACTTTAAATACAATTTAGAATTTTTTCTATGTTGACTTGTGTTCTCTTATAACCTCATTCATAATTGTATCTAGTCTGATCACTCCTGCAGCGCTTCTCAGACATCTCAATAATGAAACCGAAATCAAAAGGTTAAAACATTTGGCGTACATAATTAGAGTCGGTGCTGGAAAAGATGGGAAGGACATGGGACGAGCTGTCCGCCATGACAAGGAATACGACGACTTGAAGTTCATGCTCCACTGGAGAATAAATAATACAAGTTCGCCCGGCTCTCTAGCGAAGTTAGTTAAACCTGACTTTCGCGGCGGCCGGGTGACGAACTCCTTGTGGTCCGGGTTCACTCCCGGGGGTAGGCAGAAAAGCCACATTTCTCCCAGATTAACGGTACCTATAATGGAATCAATGCCGAAGGGTTGCGATATCCATAGTACCGAGCCAAAGGGTTTACAACTCATGGTTTCTGGATACGTAAAAATATGTTATAGACCAATCGGCAGTGGCAGGGTGATTCGGTCAACATCATGTCGGTCGCCTTTACTTCACGCGACATTTCTCGTTACCCATTTTAGCCTGGGTCTACCTGGGAGCCAAGTTCAATGTTTCCGACTCGATGCAGAGTTGAACCCTAGACCTTCAGAGTTGCAGGCAAACATCTAGTCCTTATGCTGCCAAAGTTGCATGGGAATAAAGGCAGAATAAACAAAGAAAATAGCAACATTAACAAGTAGGAGTTAACGGAGAACATTCTGGAACCTGGACACTCACCAGACAGAGTCAGCAATGAGAAGTACTTTGCCATGTCGATATCTGCTGTCACTATACAGATGTGACCTTGAACTAGGTGGGAACTCTCCCCAATCTGGTGACCTCAAAAAGCTTGGTTAACGATTACCAGCCTGTAAATATAGAGACAAATAAAACATAGCGTTAAAGGTTGTATTGTCTAATAACAACAATTGTACTGAGTTATACAGAAAACATATTGTTTTAAGGGTGTCTTGGCGTTTTACAGTTGTAAAACAGATGGGGCTGCATGATGTTCCTTGTAGCCTGTATGAGTTGTATCTGTCTTCCTTTTCTAGGCTTGCCATAATGGGCAGAAATTCATTACTAGAGTCGTTTTTATTTATTTTTTTGTATTTCTCAGATGATGCTGTCCCATAAGAGTAATTAACTGTATTTGTAAAGAAATTACATATATAAAAACAGATAGTTAAATATACAGACTAACGAAGGAACGAACGAACTTTATTTTTTAAGGGTAAAGAATTGTGAAGACAGGCCCCTTCCAATATTCTGCCCCTTTTGGCCTCACATCTTTCATATACCCGGCAACGAAAAAGATGATTACTTCCGATTATAAGTTTATGTCGGTCTATTTAAAAAAAGCAGCGTTTCAGAGTTGGGGATGGGTGGGGGTGGGGGGGGGGGGGGGGTCTTATCTCTGTAGCATTTCGTACTAAGTGAACACAGTTATTAATAGCAACGAAACAATGAAATCAATCAATATACTACAGCCAAGAACAAGAGAGGAAGAATATTCAAACTTATAGGAATAAAATCAAAAGAACATGGCGTTCAACGGGTGTTGGCAGTTTGATTTCTGGTTACAGGGCGGTATCAGTCAGTCAGTTTAACAAAACAAGGTTATGTTGTCCACTCTAGCCAGCTACGAATTTAAGAAGTAGATAAGAAGGACACCAAGATTAAGAAGAAGAAGACGAATAAGACGAAGACGCAGACGCAGAAGAAGAAGAAGAAGAAGAAGAAGAAGAAGAAGAAGAAGAAGAAGAAGAAGAAGAAGAAGAAGAAGAAGAAAAAAGAAATAGAAGAAGAAGAAGAAGAAGAAGAAGAAGAAGAAGAAGAAGAAGAAGAAGAAGAAGAAGAAGAAGAAGAAGAAGAAGAAGAAGAAGAAGAAGAAGAAATTTTAATAATAATAATAACAACAACAATAATAATAATGAAGAGGAGGAGAAGAGAGAAGAAGAAGAATTTTCGCGACGAAAACTATTTAACATGTAAACGCTTCAATCAGCAACGTAGAACCCAGTTACCTCCCTTCAAATTGCCAGGAAGTGAAGTTGTTAAAAAACAAAAAGGCAACAATTACATATGATGGCGGCATCTCCGGGCTACACCCGCACTCTTCTCTCCACCCCACGTAATCAACAGTGACATCCCATGCTGCAAGGTCAAAGTGGAAATCGACATTTGAGCGGAAGGGAGCAAGGCACTAGATTGAAATGTGTGTACAGAAGTATTCTCCAATAATCTACAATTTCACGATGTCGTTGCTAGTTCTACTGATGTTTGTAGATGCGTTGTTGGTGATAAGGTTTGTGTGACTGTGTGGGTCTCTCTCACTCTCTCGCTGTGTGTGTGTGCGTGCGCGCTTGTGTGTTTATGTAGGTGTGTGTATGTGGGGGGGGGGGTGGAATCGGAGGCATCCTACAAAAATATAGTTCGAGACCTATGTTTTAATAGACCAAATGGCACTTCGTGGGTTAGGGGTCAACATCACGCCGGCCGCCTTTACTTTCCAGGACTTTACATTGTACCCTATTAGGGCTAGGTCGACCTTTTTTAAAGACCTGCTTCGTAAAATTTGCCTAGAAAAACCACAACAGCCAAAAACACTCTGTGGTTGGTTTTGCAACGTCCTGTAAAGTATAGACAACATTATTCGGATTTGAACTCACGACCTTAGGATCCAGAGGCGAGCGTCGAGCCAATACATCACAACTGCTTCCTGTCAGTTACACAAAATCAAATATGATTGCATTTCGTCGTCAGGGGAAATAATAAACATTAACTTTTATTGTTCTTATCATATACCCACATGATTATCTACTTGCCAATTTGTATGTCTGTCTGACTCTCTATTAACTTGTCGGCCTGCCTATCTGTTTATAGCAGTCTCTGTCTGCGTGAGTATCTATCCGTCAGTCAGCCTGTCTAACTACTTACGTTGCCCAGCTACTTATCTATGTTATTTAAACATGTCATACATCGCCAGCACTACCCTAAATTCTATATCCTCAGTTAATTTGCCTGTCGTTCTACCTTTAAATCTAGCATTCCCCCATTTATTTTTGCCTGACGTTTCCATCACACATCCTTGAATACAAATTCTACCTATAAATCTATTATTTCCTTTCTATTTTCAACTTATTTTCTTCATCTCACACCCGAAGACATATTTTACCTATAAATCTATTATTTGATAATTTATCTTCAACCCCTCCCCCCTCCCCAGTCTCACATCCTCGCTCAAACACACACAGATTTTCATTAGTTCCAAATCTATTTTGACCTCACCCACACGCCCGCATTACCCCATCTCACACAGTCGAAGATACATTCTACCTATAAATCGATTATATCCAAATTTATTTTCAACCTACACCCCTCACTCCATCTCACACACCAGAAGACACTTTCTGCTTATAAATCTATTATTTCCTCATGTATATTCATCCCGCCTCCAACTTTTTATCCTGCCATCCCACAGCCTAGTACAGTTGATACCATGTATTCACGGCTGGTTAACAGCACAGCCGGGCTACAATTTACGTTAACTGAATGCAGGCGTAGCGTTGTGTTGCAGTCTGCCAGTTGAGAAAACATTTAATTCTCTGTTTCTCAAGTAGAACTGAAAGACATAATCTATTTTTAAGTAGGCGAGCAATAAATCTTCAGATTTAGAAAGCAGTAACAACAACACTGCGTTGCCAAGATAAACAAAGTAGGTTTCACACGACGACAGGAGTTTGAGCTCAGGTGTGTTTTGTTCTCTACTCGAGTTCCCTTCATCAATAATCTTCCACTGAAATGAAACTGTTTACCTTCTTTGAAAAAAAAAAAAAAAAACAGACGCAAACAAAAAGTTGCCTGATTTATTGTATGGCATACATGGACGTATCTCTCAGCAACAAGCTACCAATAAGAACTCCACAAGGGAGCATGAACAGCAGTTGTCCAACGTCATCAGTAGAAAGATCCTTCGTCGACGATTTTTTCGGCCCATTACTTTCTAGACACTCGAGGAAGGTGTGCCCGACCTGGTTCGTGACTCCAGGCCTCGATCTTCCCCTGCTTTACTTTATCCGGACTGTCGGACAGGGAGACGACGATATGATGACTTTGCAACAGGTGTTTTGGAATTGGTGTTATATTGTCGCTGCGGTAATAAATTATATAAGTCGACCACCTTAGCGACTAGAGTGACAAGTTAACCGTTGGTTCATCAGACAAGTGTTAGACTTTGGCATTTGGCAGAGAGACACCGGCAGACATTTATCGGACACTTTGGTATTTAAGGGAATAATAAACTCCTTTCCACTACGGACTCAGACCTGTCTACCGAGGCCCATCACCCTCGACGTTCCGTTCCCAGCAGCTCCGCACAGCTGTGTTAGTGACTGCTTACGCTCGTTTCTTTTCAACCCAGCTGAGCTGGCACATTGTATGTGGAAGTTGAGATAAGACTCTTGCGCCTACCTTGACGGCGAATATTTTAACTGTGTACACTTCGACTCTTCTCAGACCGGCCACGAGCTCATTGTACATTTCGAGCTTGTACATATGATTTCTTCCATCCGCCACTCGTACGGCACGGTCAGCTCTATCAGGACGAGCAGGCGTTTTTACGTATATTTCAGAACTATGTCTGGTCTCAGGCCAGTCTTCCAGACTGACTCTAGGTACGTTTCGAAACCAGGAATGTGGACAGTCGACAGCCAGTAACCAGTCCCTCGCAGTCAAGTATTGATGCAGCGTATACGACCTTGGTGACTTTACCTTTAGAAATATGCCCAGCCTCGAGGAAGCGCATGGGTGCGACGATAGGACTGGCCCTTGCAATGGCCTTCATCCTAGCTTAGTCCACAATGTCCGCTAGCTCTTTCATGACTTTGTTCTGGCGCCAAATATATCATCCCTGGCCTAGGGCTTTACTGCACGCCGGACAATACGTGCTCGAGCGTCTGCTTAGCTGTGCAAAGTGGACATTTCGGGTTGGTGGTCGCAGGCCATTTGGCCATGTTAGCGCCAGAGGGTAAGACATCACAAGCAGATCTTATAACGAAGCTCAGCCGCAGAGGGGCCATTTGCCAGATCTCACCCCATGTGAGTATTCGTGGCAAGACGCATCCAATGCCGATCCGCTGGCCTTGCTGCGACTGCTGGGCTGATTTCTGCCATAATAAAAGAGTTGACAAAACAAATGAATGCGTGTTTAAACAGAACACACAATACAAGCAAATGTAACCGCGTTTCCAGAGTGGAAGCGAAAAGGCCTCTTACTGATGGAGAAGGTGGAGCCCTCTGAAACGAAGTCTGAGAGCTCCTGCAATAGATTATCCGACTGTTTGGGAAGGCCATCCTTACAAGTGTCGTAATGGATTCACCCTTAGGCCGACATGACGTCGGGCGGGGCGCACTTATTGATCTGGTCCTGTCTTTGACGTGGTGTAATTACAATTGATGTTCTCTGGCGGACTCATCGTCTTCAGTGAAAGTTGGTCACAACTAGAACTCTTTTCAAGAAAGTCAGGGTATTTCAATGGCTGCTAACCCGCTTGCTTGCTAATCTTATTGACAATGTTCGTATACTCATCTGAGATTTAGATAGTTTATAAAGTCAGCCTCTCAGTCTTCTTCTTCTTCTTCTTCTTCTTCTTCTTCTTCTTCTTCTTCTTCTTCTTCTTCTTCTTCTTCTTCTTCTTCTTCTTTCTTCTTCTTCTTCTTCTTCTTCTTCTTCTTCTTCTTCTTCTTCTTCTTCTTCTTCTTCTTCTTCTT